CAGGAAGTACATCCTCTGCTGGGCCTTCTTGATGAGGAGCTGATGGTCGGCTCCCACTTGAGGTCCTGGGTGATGGTGGTGCCCAGGAAACGGAAGGACTCCACAGAGGTGATGGGGGAGTCCATCACGGAGGGTGGGGGCGGGGGGACAGTGCTCTTCCTGAAGTCCACAATCATCTCCACTGTCTTCTGGGCGTTCAGCTCCAGGTTGTTACCACTGCACCAGGACACCAGCCGGTCCACCTCCCTCCTGTAGGCGGACTCATCGTTGTTGGAGATGAGTCCGATGAGGGTGGTGTCGTCCGCGAACTTGATCAGCTTCACGGAGTCGTGGCTGGAGGTGCAGTGGTTGGTGTACAGGGAGAAGAGCAGGGGAGAAAGAACACAGCCCTGTGGGGCTCCTGTATTTATAATCCGAGAGTCCGAGACATTCTTCCCCAGACGCACTCGCTGCTTCCTGTCCGTCAGGAAGTCAGTGATCCACCTGCAGGTGGAATCGGGCACGTTGAGCTGGGAGAGCTTGTCCTGGAGCAGGGATGGCAGGATTGTGTTGAAGGCAGAGCTGAAGTCCACGAACAGGACCCTGGCGTAGGTCCCCGGGGAGTCCAGGTGCTGTAGGATGTGGTGGAGGGCCAGGTTAATGGCGTCGTCTACAGATCTGTTGGCTCTGTAGGCGAACTGCAGGGGGTCCAGGAGGGGGGAGGTGAGGGACTTGAGATGGGAGAGAACCAGGCGTTCAAATGACTTCATGACGACAGACGTAAGTGCTACAGGTCTGTAGTCATTGAGTCCTGTGATCCTGGGCTTCTTCGGGACGGGGACAATGATGGAGGATTTGAAGCAGGCCGGGACATGGCAGGACTGCAGAGAGGTGTTGAAAATGTCCGTGAACACAGGAGCAAGCTCACTGGCGCAGTGTCTCAGAGTGGCCGGAGACACGTGGTCCGGGCCAGGAGCTTTGCGGGGGTGCAGCCTCAGGAAGAGTTGTTTAATCTCTTTAGCGGCTATTGTTAGGCTGGGGGCAGGGCTGATGGGTGGGTCGTTAGAGTAGTGGGGGGGGGGGGGAGGGAGAGGTGTCAGGGGCAGCATCAAAGCGACTGAAAAATAAGTTCAGATCGTCAGCTAGCTTGTGGTCATCAGCACAGGGGGGGGCTTTGGGTTTGTAGTTGGTGATCTCCCGTAGGCCCCTCCAGACAGAAGCAGTATCGTTGTTACCAAACTGCTCCTGTAGTCGTTCTCTGTGCCGGGACTTGGCTGCTTTCAGTTCTTTCCTGAACTGATATTTAGCTGCTTTGTAGCCGCTGCGGTCCCCCTCCCTGAAAGCAGACTCCTTTGCTTTCCTGAGCTGCCGGAGTTTAGCAGTGAACCAGGGTTTGTCGTTGTTATAGATGACCCTGGTCCTTGTTGGAATGATGCTATCCTCACAGAAGTGGATGTATGACGTCACAGTGTCCGTATATTCATCCAAGCTGTCTGTGGCAGCTCTGAAAAGGTCCCAGTCTGTAGATTCCATGCATGCGCGCAGCTCTTCCACAGCTTCATCAGACCACACTTTGGAGCTCCTCACTGCAGGTTTCGAGAGCTTTAGACTCTGTCTGTAAGCAGGAACCAGATGTATCATGGAGTGATCTGAGAAGCCGAGGGCTGGCTTGGGAACAGCGCGAAAAGCTCCGCGCACGGTGGTGTAACAGTGATCCAGAGTGTTCTCCTCTCTGGTCGGGCATTTGATAAACTGTCTGTATTTGGGTAATTCCTGGCTCAAGTTTCCCTTATTAAAATCCCCCAGGATAATAATCAGAGAGTCCGGGTATAAGCGTTCCATACACAGTACTTGCTCTGCGAGTGCGCGCTGAGCCTCGCGCGCGTCCGCGCATGGCGGTATGTAAACAGAGGCAAGAATGAATGAAACAATTTCCCGCGGGGAGTAATATGGTTTACAATGAATGAAAAGATATTCCAGAGCAGGAGAGCAGTGCTTGGAGATCACTGTCACATCGTTACACCAGTTTGTATTGACGTAGAAACAGAGCCCTCCGCCTCTGCTCTTCCCTGAGAGCGCACAATGGCGATCCGCGCGGAACAGCCCAAAGCCCTGCAGCTCCAGAGCGCAGTCCGGGATCCGCTCATTTAGCCAGGTCTCAGTGAAGCAGAGGACACAGGATGTGGCGAAGTCCTTGTTTCTTCTCATGAGCAGGCTGAGTTCGTCCATCTTATTGCCCAGTGAGCGTACGTTGGAGAGAAAAATGCCGGGGAGAGCCGTGCGCGCTCCTCTCCTCCTCAGACGCACGAGCAGGCCTCCTCGCTTTCCCCTTTTACGGGCCCACACTTTTTTGGCTAGAACATGAACTAAATCAGCCGCAGATGCCAAGAAAACAGGCAATAGGTCCATGGGAACGGTGGGTCGGATGTTCATAAGTTCCTCACGGGTGTAGGAACAGCCAGATGCACAGTTAAAAAGTAAAAACAAAAGAAAAAGAGAGCAGCAAAGAGCCATGTCGACCGTACGAGGCGCCATCTTAAAAATAAATAATAAATAAATAAATAATAAATGCTAATCAAAAGCTACTCTAAAAAGGTGCGTCTTGAGCCTACTCTTAAAAATATGAACGTTCTCTGCGGCCCTGAGCTCCTCCGGCAGACTGTTCCAGAGACGGGGGCCGTAGTGCTGGAAAGATGCCTCGCCGTGAGTGTGTGTCCTGACTTTGGGGATGGTTAGGAATCTGCTGCCGGAGGAGCGCAGGGGCCGGGAAGGTTCATAGGATAAAAGCAAATCTGAAAGATAAGAAGGCCCAAGACCATTAAGACATTTAAAAACCATTAAAAGAACCTTAAAATCGATCCTGAAACACACGGGGAGCCAATGCAACGATTTTAAAACCGGTGTAATGTGGTCCCGCCCCCTGGTCTTAGTCAGGACACGTGCTGCTGAGTTTTGGAGTAATTGTAAACCTGAAATGTTCTTTTTGGGAAGACCAGAGAGCAGGGCATTACAGTAGTCAATGCGACTGGTTATAAAAGCATGCATCAGCGTCTCCGTGTTGCCCCGAGAGAGAATGGGGCGGACTCTGGCGATGTTCTTTAAATGATAAAAACCTATTTTTGTGATGTTCTTGATGTGAGGAATAAAAGTCAGCTCAGAGTCAAAGATTACGCCCAGGTAATCTTGTGGCGCACGATGTGACTGAGAACAACTCGTCTTGTCGCAACTTCACGTCACTTATTAGGGATCTAGTTACGCTCATCAGAGAGTCACCAAAGCAGCTTTTTTGGTTTTAGCAGATTCAGACCAAAGACAGCCCAGCTGTGAGGCCTCTGTGCCCAACGCGCTGGACAATGACTACGGCCTTACTGCGGTCAATTGCAGACAACTACAGTGCGCTCTTACTTTTTCTGGAAGACTAGGCTCAAAATGACCGAGGGAATGCTGGAGGAAACTCCAACGGATTGCTTTTAAACCTTCAGAAGTTTGGTACATTCTTTTCATTAAACTTGATGCTGAAATTCTTCTCTCGAATTGAAACTGTATCGGTTGCACTCCAAAAGAGGCAATTGCATATGCAGAAAGCAACGCAGATAAAAGACACACTCCGAGATGACATACAATCTTTTTGCCAAGAAGCATCATTTACTACACTGTGGCAAAGCGTAGTTGGTGAGGCAAGTGATCTTCATCTTGAGAGCCCGTCTGTGCCCAGGCCTCGTAAACGTCCCTGCCGCCTGGAGGATGGAGGTGCCCCGCAGCACGTATTTAAAACTCCCGAGGACGTCTACAGACAGCTGCACTATGATGTTATTGACACAGCAGTCACCTCATTGGACACTCGATTTAGTCCGTCCGTGTTTAAATTCATGAAGAAAGTGGAAGATTTTCTCACTGGAAAGAAGAGCTGTGAAAGCATCATTGAGTTCCACGGAGATGATTTGGATGAGACGAGGTTAACGTTGCATTGTGACATGTGTATTGATTTGGCCAAACAAAAAGGAGTAAGCCTAGACACATTTACCGACGTTGTTAACTTTCTAAGACATGACGGCGAATACTTAAGAGACATGTTACCAGAGATAGCTAAGCTGACTGTCCCAGTAACTTCATGCACGTCAGAGAGATCATTTTCAAGTCTGCGGAGGCTAAAATCCTACCTACGGTCAACAATGGGACACGTCAGGCTGAACCACGTAACGTTACTTTATTGCCATAAAACCACATCACGGCAACAGAGTTTGGATGATATCGCCAATGAATTCATCAAGCGCACATCGGCGAGAAAAGGCACATTCCTCCTACTATGACATGACGACAATGGTGTGAAAGATGAATGTAAACATGCCAGATTATAGACACATGGGCTTCAATGACATGAACGAAACAACACAGACTGTTGTTGGTGAATCCACAACTCATCAGAGACGACCGCTGTTGGGATTTAGGACCACACACTTAAACTATTTAAAGTTGCCAGGCCTCACTCTAATCCTCTCTGCTTTTACCTGCTCCTCTCTGCCTTTCTCTCCTCTCTGCTCCTCTCTGCCTTTCTCTGCTCCTTCTCTGCTCCTCTCTCCTCCTCTCTACTTCTCACTGCTCCTCTCTGCCTTTATCTGCTCCCCTCTCCTTTTCTCTACTCGTTCTGCCTTTTTCTGCTCCCTCTCTGCTCCTGTCTCCCTTTCTCTGCCTTTCTCTGTTAATCTCTCTTCCTCTCTGCCTTAATCTGCTCCTCTATGCTCCTCTCTCCTTTTCTTTACTCCTCTCTGCTTTTCTCTGATCCTTCTCTGATTCTGTCTCCCTTTCTCTGCTCCTCTCTGCCTTTCTCGGCTCCTCTCCCTTCCTCTCTGTTTCTCTCTGCCTTTCTCTGCTCCTCTCTCTTCCTCTCTGCTCCTCTGTCTTCCTCTCTGCTCCTCTCTGCCTTTCTCTGCTCCTCTCTCTTCCTCTCTGGTCCTCTCTTTTCCTCTCTGCTCCTCTCTGCCTTTCTCTGCTCCTCTTTCTTCCTCTCTGCTCCTCTGTCTTCATCTCTGCTCCTCTCTGCCTTTCACTGCTCCTCTGTCTTCCTCTCTGCTCCTCTGTCTTCCTCTCTGCTCCTCTCTCCTCCTCTCTGCCTTTCTCTGCTCCTCTCTGCTCCTCTGTCTTCCTCTCTGCTCCTCTCGCCTCCTCTCTGCCTTTCTCTGCTCCTCTCTGCTCCTCTGTCTTCCTCTCTGCTCCTCTCTGCACCTCTCTGCCTTTCTCTGCTCCTGTCTCTTCCTCTCTGCTCCTCTCTCCTCCTCTCTGCCTTTCTCTGCTCCTCTCTCTTCCTCACTGCTCCTCTCTCCTCCTCTCTGCTCCTCTCTCCTCCTCTCTGCCTTTCTCTGCTCCTCTCTCTTCCTCTCTGCTCCTCTCTCCTCCTCTCTGCTCCTCTCTCCTCCTCTCTGCCTTTCTCTGCTCCTCTCTCTTCCTCTCTGCTCCTCTCTCTTCCTCTCTGCCCCTCTCTGCACCTCTCTGCACCTCTCTGCTCCTCTCTGCTCCTCCCTGCTGTCTGATGGATCCTGAGATCTCTCTGTGCTGCTGCAGTGAGTCTGCTCTGTTTTCTCACTGATCTTTCCCTTGCGTCCACAGCCACACTCCTCCTCACTTCTCGCGCATTTCGAACTCCACACAACACAAAACAGAAACCTCTATTATTACTTTTCTGTTAATACTCTTTATCAACTTATCACCCTGACTATGTGTTGTTCTTATGAAGCCTTTACAGTTAGTTAAGAAGCCTTGCAGCTACTCTCTCTCTGGTCTCTCTCTGGTCTCTCTCTGGTCTCTCTCTAGTCTCACTCTCTGGTCTCTCTCTGGTCTCTCTCTCTCTGGTCTCTCTGGTCTCTCTCTCTCTGGTCTCTCTCTCTCTGGTCTCTCTGGTCTCTCTCTGGTCTCTCTCTGGTCTTCTCTCTGGTCTTTCTCTGGTCTCTCTCTGGTCTCTCTCTCTGGTCTCTCTCTGGTCTCTCTCTCTCTGGTCTCTCTCTGGTCTCTCTCTCTCTGGTCTCTCTCTCTGGTCTCTCTCTGGTCTCTCTCTCTCTGGTCTCTCTCTCTGCTCTCACTCTGGTATATCTCTCTGTCTTTCTTGTCTCTTTCTGGTCTCTCTCTGGTCTCTCTCTGGTCTTTCTCACTGGTCTCTCTCTCTCTGGTCTGTCTGTGGTCGCTCTCTGGTCTCTCTCTCTCTGGTCTCTCTGGTCTCTCTCTCTCTGGTCTTTCTCTGGTCTTTCTGTGGTCGCTCTCTGGTCTCTCTCTCTGGTCTCTCTCTGGTCTCTCTCTCTGCTCTCACTCTGGTATATCTCTCTGTCTTTCTTGTCTCTTTCTGGTCTCTCTCTGGTCTCTCTCTGGTCTTTCTCACTGGTCTCTCTCTCTCTGGTCTTTCTGTGGTCGCTCTCTGGTCTCTCTCTCTGGTCTCTCTCTGGTCTCTCTCTGGTCTCTCTCTGGTCTCTCTCTCTGCTCTCACTCTGGTATCTCTCTCTGGTCTCTGGTCTCTTTCTGCTCCCTCTCTGGTCTGGAATGGCATGGAGTTATCTCTTTATTCTTACAGGATGTACCAAGCCTTGTCTAAATCAGAGACTGTACACAGATGGACAAACCTAACCCACTAGCTCTATGAAGCCCAGAAGAGAAGTGCGCATGGGGAAGTTTGGCTCCAACTCGCTATTGACTACTGAGAATGATCTCTCTCTCCCTTTTCTTGCTCTCTCTGGTTTCCCTCTCTGTTCGCTCTCTGGTCTCTCCTTGGCCTCTCTCTGGTCTCTCTGGTCTCCCTTTGGTCTCTCTCTGATCTCTCTCTCTCTAGCTTCCCCAATGTCTCTCTCTGGTCTCTCTCTTATGTCTCTTTCTGGTCTCTCTGGTCTCTCCTTGGCCTCTCTCTGGTCTCTCTGGTCTCTCCTTGACCTCTCTCACTGGTCTCTCTCTCTGGTCTCTGGTCTCAAATTTTATTTATGAAGCGCTACAACAAAAAATGCAACATAAAGTGCTTTACAGTTTAGTTAAAAACAATCCATTATGCCCAGCCCTAAACCCCACCTCCCCACAGACCCCCCCACCACATTTATTATTATAAATACACCCACATGCGTATACACACACAAACACACACACACACACACACACACACACACACACACGCACACGCACACACAAATATAAAGTCATATCAGGTAAAATAGGTAAAACAATAAAAAGAAATGGGGCTGAGTTCAGATGTAAACGGCTGAAGAAGCGCCATCCAAGGAGCAGAGAGCCGGCTGCAGCCACAGGAAACGACACGGGACCCAGAGGAGAGAGGAGGCCCCAGACCCCACCAGGTCCAGGTCTGTCACTGGTTTCCCTTTGGTCTCTCTCTGGTCTCTCTCTGGCCTCTCTCTGGTCTCTCTCTGTCCTCTCTCTGGACTCTCTATGGTCTCTCTCTGGTCTCTCTCTGGTCTTTCTCTGGACTCTCTCTGGCCTCTCTCTGGTCTCTCTCTGGCCTCTCTCTGGCCTCTCTCTGGTCTCTCTCTGGTCTCCCTTTGGTCTCTCTCTGGCCTCTCTCTGATCTCTCTCTGGTCTCTCTCTGGTCTCTCTCTGGTCTCTCTCTGGTCTCTCTTTGGCCTCTCTCTGGTCTCTCAGTGGTCTCTCTCTGGTCTCTCTCTGGTCTCTCTCTGGTCTCTCTCTGGTCTCTCTCTGGTCTCTCTCTGGTCTCTCTCTGGCCTCTCTCTGGTCTCTCTCTGTCCTCTCTCTGGACTCTCTCTGGTCTCTCTCTGGTCTCTCTCTGGTCTTTCTCTGGACTCTCTCTGGCCTCTCTCTGGTCTCTCTCTGGTCTCTCTCTGGTCTCTCTCTGGCCTCTCTCTGGTCTCTCTCTGTCCTCTCTCTGGACTCTCTATGGTCTCTCTCTGGTCTCTCTCTGGTCTTTCTCTGGACTCTCTCTGGCCTCTCTCTGGTCTCTCTCTGGTCTCTCTCTGGCCTCTCTCTGGTCTCTCAGTGGTCTCTCTCTGGTCTCTCTCTGGTCTCTCTCTGGTCTCTCTCTGGTCTCTCTCTGGTCTCTCTCTGGTCTCTCTCTGGCCTCTCTCTGGTCTCTCAGTGGTCTCTCTCTGTTCTCTCTCTCTCATTTCATGTATTTTACAGCTCAACAATCAGACAAAGACGGCTCATGTTAATAAATCCTTTCACTGTGATCACGGGCCGAGAACTGTTGAATGGAGCAGAAATCATGTATCATCAGTGTCACTAATTAGATTCCTGAATAGACGAAGGTGAGAGCCAATCCGAGCGCGTTGTGTAGGAACAGAACAGTGTGAGTGAGGGCGCTGCGATAGAGCCGTGTGTGTGTTGGATACATCTGCAGCATCAGTTTTTAATGGGGCTGATCTGAGAGTCACTCTGAGCTCTGTGTGTGTGTGTTTGTTTCTGTAAGTGTGTCTCTGTATGTATGTCTCTGTGTGTGTGTGTGTGTATGTGTCTCTGTGTGTATTTGTGTGTCACTGTGTGTTTATGTGTGTATGTGTCTGTGTGTTTGTCTCTGTGTGCGTGTCTTTGTATGTGTGTTTATGAGTCTTGGTGGGTTTTTGAGTGTCTGTGTGTGTGTCAGTGTGTGTGTCTCTGTGTGTCTCTCTGTGTGGGTGTCTCTGTAAGTGTGTCTCTGTGTGTATCTCTGTATACACGAATACTTATTTATTTATTTATTTATTTGAATTAGGACAGTGCACATTAATCAACACGTCAGCCAAAAGCATCAATGTAAATGTACCAGAATTAGCGTGAGAGCTAAATTGCATCCGTTGTCCTAAGGCAGGAAAAGAAACATTGACAGTAGGAAAATACAAACATAGTACAGAGAACAGCACAAAGTTACAGTCATAGTTACAAGGACAGACACAGGTAAGATAACATAACACGCCCAAGAATTGATTAAGCATTGAACTTTAATTAAACTACCTGTGAGTGCAAGATTGATTTGTTTTTAACCAGATTTTTAGGACCTTTTTAAAGGTGTGGTAATTGTCACAGTTCCTGATATGAACAGGCAGCGAGTTCCAAAACTGCGAGCCTCTGATAGACTCCACCGTTTGACTGAATTTAGTCCTACGACGTTGCACAATACAGTCTCCTCTGGTCAGCGCTCTGGTATTTACTCGAGTGTTACTTATTTGTGATATAAAATTCCTTAATGGTGGAGGGGCAAGACCTTTTAAAACTCTAAAAACTAAACAGGCATCCAGGAACTTCTGATAGCCGTCAAAATCTAAAATATTATACTTACTTACAATGTGGCAGTAATGATAATGTAAAGGCTTTCTATCCAAAGTTTTCAATGTTTTCTTAAAGAGAGACTTGATAGGGCTCATGTTGGACTCTGATGTTTGGGACCATGTGGTTTGACAGTACGTTATATGGCTAAAGATCATTGCATGCATATAAGCCTTTGCAGACTCTGTGGTCAGACATGGTCTTATATGCTTAAAATTTGACAAATTGAATTTAATGATGTGTGCAATTTTCTTGATATGCTGCTTAAAATCTAGATTTGAATCAAAGAGCACTCCTAAATACTTGAATTGTTTAACTTCATTTAATCTCTCGCCATTAACTATCACAGATGGTTGTTCGTTCCCTACTGGCTGACGAGAAAAGAACATGCAGACAGTTTTTTTTGTATTTAAATGAAGGCAAGAATTTTGGAGCCAATGGGACACTGGGACCATGGCTGCAGATAGGATTGCAGCAGCTTCACATTTTGTTTTAGCGTGCACATATAATACAGCATCATCAGCATATAACTGCATGTTAACAGTTTTACAGATGTTGGGGAGATTATTAATATATAGGCTGAACAGAATCGGTCCCAATATTGAACCTTGTGGGACACCTGCGGAACAATTGAGAAATGTGGACTGAACATTGTCTATTTGTACAGTCTGTTTTCTGTCTGTTAGATATGATCTCATCCAGAGGAGGGCGCTCTCAGAAAAATTAAAACTGGATAATTTGGCTATCAGAACGTCATGATTTAAGGTGTCGAATGCTCGTTTTAGATCAAGGAATACAGCACCCACATACCCACTCTTATCTAACATATATTTAACATTTTCTAAAAAGTAACAAGTGGCGGTTTCTGTAGAGTGATGCTTCCTGAACCCAAACTGCATGGGATGGAGCGGTGTTTCACAACAATTTAGGTGTTCTGTTAGTTGTGCAGCAACCCATTTTTCTATTATTTTGGACATGATTGGTAGGATACTAATGGGACGGTAATTCTCAGGTTTAGTTTTGTCTCCTGCCTTAAACACCGGAAAAACCCTTGCCATTTTCCAATTTGACGGCACCGTTGCCTGTTTTATGGATACATTAATTAAATGTGCAATTGGACTTGCAAGTGCCTCTTTGTGACGTTTCATAAAATCACTGGAAAGACCAAAGATATCTTTGGCTTTTGAGCTTTTTAGAGAAGAGATTATTTTTATAACATCAGGGATTGTTATTTCTTGTATACTAAATAATGTTTTGCTGAAATCAAGCTTTTTACTTGCGAAAGTATTCGGCCCCCTTGAACCCTTCAACATTTCGCCACATTTCAGGCTTTAAACATAAAGATATAAAATTTTAATTTTTTGTCATGAATCAACAACAAGTGGGACACAATCGTG